TTAACAAACAATTGCAGGGAAAAAAATTACAACTTAAAAAAAACTCACCGTGCCTCTTACTAAATACCTTGGACTGTCTACTTTCCAAAATGGGGCTTGTCTACTTTCCAAAATGGGGCTATTTGGGGGTAATTTGTAATGTTCTGACATTTTAGGGCTCAAGAAATTATATAGGCACTCAGCACATCAGGATTGATCAATTTTTCAATGATATGTACTGTAGCATAGCTTGTAGACACTATAACTTACACACAAACCAATTAATATGCACTTATTAGGATTTTGTTTAGCAAAGACATGTCACAATGTGAGACTGATTTTATTGGATATTTTTTTAAAACAGAAACTTGAAAAAAGCTTTTTTTTTTTCAAAATGTTTGCTCTTTTTTCGCTTATATTGCAAAAATCAAAAACCTAATGGTGATTAAATACCACCATTTCATTTGGGTACAGTGTAGCATGACTGAGTGTCATTCAAGATGTGAGAGCACTGAAAGCTAAAAATTGGTCTGGGAAGAAAGGGGGTAAAAGTGCCCAGTATTGAGGTAGTTAAAGGAGTAAACCAGGTACTCGGGATCAAGCAGGGATGTATTCCTCTCCAGCAGGAACTTTCACATTGTAATCTCAGGATTAGTAGATGGAAAGGTCAGGCTAAATCATTCACACAAGTCAGGCTCAAGGAAGATAAAATAGAGACTATATTGCTCACTGCTGCATTTATTAAAACTCAAATAACCACAAATATTGCACTAATAGGCACTGCAAATAAGTACAAAGTATCAAACTGTTGGATAAAACCTTATGTAGTCCAAAAACACAGACCACCAACCAGCTGCTGTAAACCTCTTACTCACAGTCTGTGTTCATCCGAGATTGCAAGACTTTGCCCTACCGGTTTCATCACAAATGATGTCATCAGGGAACCCCAGTATAACCCAAAATGACCCCTTTTTGGAAAGTAGACAGTCCCAAGTTATTTAGTAAGAGGCATGATGAGTGTTTTGAAGTTGCAATTTTTGTTGTCCCTTTTCTCTGGAAAATAAAGAAAGCCATATTTCTAACACACAGAATGGGCATACTTACAATTACACCCCATAACACATTATTCTACGCTTCCCTAGTATGGGGATTCCACATGTTTGAGACTTTTTGGTTGCCTAGGTGTATAGAGAAGCCCAAAATCCAAGAAGCTCCTTCAGACTTTCGAGAGGCATAAATTATGCATCTAATTTCCTGACTTCCTATCATATTTTTGGAGGCCAGGACAAGAGCATCACCCACAAATGATCCCATTTTGCAAAGTAGACCCACCAACATATTTAATTAGAGGCATGGTGTTTCTTTTGAATATCTCATTTTTTGCCACAAGTTTTTTGAAATTGAAGAAAAAAATGACTTTTTTTTTTTTTTTTTACACACAGCTATCAATAATATCTCACACACAGCATGGGCATAGTTAGAATTACACCCCAAAACACAATCTGCTACTCCTCCTGAGTATGGCGATACCACAATGTGAGACTCCTTTGCAGCCTAGCCAGATAATGAGGCTCAAAATCCAAAGAGCACTTTCAACCTTCAAGAGGCATTTATTAGGTATCTAATTTCCTGACTACCTGTAACATGTTTGGAGGCATGATAAGTCTTTTGAAGATTTAATTTTTCTACCACAAGCTTTTGGAAAAAGCAGAAAGAAAATAAAAATGTACTTTTTTACACAAAGTTATAAGTTAGTATGATAGTTCTACCACACAGCATGGACATGCTTAGAATTACACTTAAAAACACATTCTGCTACTCTTCCTGAGTATGAGGATATGTGAGACTTTATTAGGAGCCTAGCTGCATAGAAGTGCCCAAAATGCAAGGAGCACTTTCAAGCTTGCAAGGGGCATAAATTATGTATCTAATTTCCTGACTACTATTTTTGGAAAATGTGGAAAGGAAATGAAAAAGTATTTTTTGTACAAATTTGTCAATTAATAGGATTTTTTTAACTATACAGCATAGGAATACTTAGATCTTAACCCCAAAGCTCATTCTGCTATTCCTCCTGAGTATGGTGATACCACATGTGAGACTTTTTCACAGCCAAGACACATAGACTATCAAAATCCAAGGAGCACCTTCAGGCTCTCTAGGGGCATAAATTGAGCATCTAATTTCCTGACTCTACATGCATCTGCATTGCCACCTACATCCAATCAGACCCACAAATACACCCCCCCCCCAGCCCCCACCCATCTAACGAACATCCACACCCACATGCTTTCCTTTGCCGACACTTGTTTCTTGGAATGGTTGCTCAATATGTATATATTTTCTCTCCTTTCATCTCCACTCAGTGCATTTAACACTCCAGCTGTCAAACAATGTATACAGTTGTGTATGCCTTTTCTTCAATGTACTTGTGTAAAACTTTGGAAAATCAATACAAAACTTGTGAAAAAAATTAATCAATTATTCCTATCTGGATGTTTTTTTTTTCTATGAGAGGTCTGGAGATAATGATGAAAATGTACATCTGACCTTTCAGAGCACATGCAATGCTGTGGATAATTTACCTGGTCAAAGATGGCAGATCCACTTCAAAGGACATTTTTGCGTGGTAAATGAAATGTAGCCAGGTGCCGGTTATCGCATTATGCCTTTCAGGGACATATACAAGTGGGACTATAATTAAACCTTTTCCCCCTAGTGCCCACTACTGGAACTGCAACATCACTTCCTGTTAGCAGAGTGGATCCAGTTCTTCTGACAGCAGAGGATCTTAGAGGATCTTGGGACCTGTAGTCCTAGAGGGTGCTAAATGAACTATAACTACCAAAGAACTGGCAACCGAGAGGAATGCTGGGAGAGCAGATATATTCTACAGAAAGAGACAGGCTCACTCTCTTGGGGTGGGATTCAGAGCAGAAACACAGAAGACAGATTGTTGGCCTGCTGTTGCGGGATTCTGCACATCAGTTCAGCACAGCAGTGATGCCGATCACCACACCGGGATCACAGCCTCTTTTGCATGGGGACTGTCAGTATTTGTTCTTCTCACAGACATCTCTGCTCACTGCACGGACAAGCCATCAGGTGGTAACTCCACACATCCCTGCAAAAAGCCAAGAGCCTGTGCAAGAACTCTTGTTCCTAGGAGGCCATGCTATCCATAGGATTGGTGAATTGGCAGATACCCAACTTCTTTCTGTCATCACTCTAGAAACACTGCATACAGACTCCTTTACACCTCAGTATCAGGAGATTTCTGCTTGGAGCAGTACCACAGCCTATCTATTTAACTTCATTGAATAACCAGTATTCACTACTTTTTATGGGCTCCACCATCGCTAGAAGTAGACAAAAGACACCACCATATCAGGAACTTTAAACAACACAGGACTCAAGTTGCAATCTCTAGTTAAAAGGGACTTCTCTTCTATAGCCATTGTAATTGAAATTAGGATACTTATATCTATTTATGACAGAGTATACATGTACATAAGTCTCTGCATCCACTATTATGGCGCTGATAGCTTAGTGGGAGCTGATAAGTCACCAAGTCTTTTCTTTCCCCCTCTTACTGCTGGTGTTGAAGTTCAATGGTTGAAGTTTACTATTCATGACTGCATAATTTAAGAAATGTTGCTAGTTGATTATTCCTATTTTAGCTGAGTTCTATTTTTATGCATTGACTGGGGTTGTATATTCTAAACCCACTATTCTTGTGGTACTCATTTGAACAAGACTAATATAAAGGTGTTACTAAAGAACTGAGTCTCTGACATTATTATACTATACTGTAATATGTCTAAACCCACAGTATCAGAAATGTCGGGAGGCTTGCAAGGTCAGGGCAACCACTGGGGACAAGATTTATCAAGTGGCCTCTATGGGGGTAGCGCTACAGAAACATGGTTACACAGAGAGTGTGGACCACATAATATATTACATGTAGCTGGGTTTAAAGCTGGCTGTGTATGTGAATATAATACGGTTTTCATTATATACCTTAACCCAGTGTTGTCATCACTAGATCTCTCTGCTTCTTTATACAATGCGGGTACATACTTGGGGAGATTTACAAAAACTGCAGCGTGCAAAATCTGGAGAAGCTCTGCACAGAAACCAATCAGCTTCCAGGTTTTAATGTCAACATTTAATTGAAAAAGCTGAAGTTAGGCCTCTTTCACAGGGGCGTTCCGTATGTCCATTTTTCATCTGTCCATTTACGGATGAAAAACAGAAACCCATGTATTTCTATGGACTAGCAGATGTAAACGGATTAATATCCATTTTCATCCGTTAATGTCCGTATCCGTTAATCCGTTAACATCCGTTTTTTTGAACAGAAGAAAACCCTATTTTTCTTCCACAAAAAAAACCCTGAATGGACGAAAACGGATGTAAACGGACCAAAAACGGATGTAAACGGATGAAAAATAGATGTAAACTGATTTTAAATGGATGTAAAACAGGTGAAAAAATGGATGTAAATTCATCCATTTTTTCCTATGAAAAAATTTGACTGAACTGATGAAGAAGAAAAAAAAAGGACCCTTAGAAGCTATTATGTTCCAGATTCTGAGTGCTCTAGTTTTAGTAAATCTCCCCCAATGGCCGGTAGGAAGGGCTAGCAGTGTGCTGTACATAGCTTCCTGAAAACATCAGAACACAAGCAGTGGGCTGGCTGTAAGGGGAAATTGGGAGTTATGCAAATATCAAAATGTCATGATGGGTTGGTGTCAGTCTGGAAGAATATTATAAATGTACCGGTGGCAGTAAGAATAACAGAATGTGATTGCAGTGAAAGCCAGGTAAGCAATGTTAAAAAAACATAACCCTCTTCATCAATAAATGTTTCTAAACACAAAGATAACTTGATATGTAGTTTTCCTGAAACTTTTGTGTGTTTTTAATTGGTACTATACATTTTCTAAGATATATTGGTAATTTATTGTATTGCCTAAAAGATTACCAAATCAGGAAATTTGGGCCTTTCCCCTGAAAACTCAAGCTAGTTCCAGCTGTTGACTTTTCAAGGGTGAAAGTTGGCGATTGATGGTTCGGTTGAAGGAATCCATGGATGGAACATACTTCTCCATAGGCAGAGTGAGCTTCCGGCGGGAATCAACACATTTGTTGTCCAGGTTTAGGGAGTTTTCCTTACATTTTATATCTGCTTCAATGCGGGCAAGATGTTTGTAGAGCGCATCCAGTGCATCCCTGCAAGAACACAATAACAGTGCTTTCACTTGTGTTTTCTGCGCAGACTAAGCTTTTTTGCAACTCACAAAGCCTTATTCAGTTAGATCAGTTGAAAAAAAAAGTTTGGTAAATTGTCAGCAAGCACATCATTTGAATTATTAATACACTCTACATAAAATTATTTTTCTGTGACTTTCACATTTGTGTTGCTGTAATAAATGTAAAGCTTTGTAAATCTGCCACTAGAAGCAGGGTAGATTAGCTTTTACAAGGACTCTCACCCTAGGACCCTCTTGGGTGAAGTTCCGCTTGAACAACTTTTGAGGTCAGATATCAAGCATATAGGGAGTGTTTAGTTTTTGGTTGGCTGACTGATAGACTTGCATTATGAGAAGGAGTAGTAAAATCAGTACTGTTGTATAGCAGGAAGCAAAGTATACTTATATATTTAGGTTTCACATGCATAGGTTTAACCCAGTTTTTATATCCAATGGAATTGACACCACAGTAAATATCTGGAGTATCATATCTCAATAAATCTTTGTCAAATGAATAGGTGTCAATGCCTAACAGTTAACAACCTCCCACTTATTTTTGTACGGACTTAAAAAAATTAGCTTCAAATTTTTCTCAGTACATATCAAGTTTTTTTTGTAATTCCTTTATTTTCATAGGACAAAGCAAGTACAGACAATGATCATTCACAAGTGGTTACTCAGGTAATACAATTACATAAGAGCAAGGCAAAACTTAGGAGTATAACAGGCAGCAGATGAGCGGTATATCAACACCACATGAACTGTTTGATATCCATGAGACAGAAATATGGGCTCTGTATCAAGTCACACGGGCACCTAACAGCAAACCATGACCAATGAAACCAATACAGCATGCTCTGCTTTAACTTGTAATGTCAGTGGCTCTACGGACACAACAGAGTAGGGCATGGCAAACAAATTCAACATTTGGAAGTTCCCAAAAGGAAAAGGGGAGGAGTAGGGGAAGGAGAAAGGGTAGCAGAGTCATCCCTCTCCCACCACAGGATACAGCAGGGCAGGCTTCACTGGGAGGCGGACAGCTCATTGAGGTAGGAATCAGTGTACACAAAATAGTTCTGTTGTCTACAAATGTCGGAGCAGGACACCTCTGTGTTGAGCACGGTGGCTGTGAGGTCCTCCATATCCCATGAAACAATAACTCTAGCAAACCAAAGATCCTTTGAAGGAGGCTCAGTGCTCCTCCAACAAATCGGACTGCAAGCCTTAGCTGCATTAAAAAGCTTAATCATAAGGGAAGATTGTATTTTTAATAGGTCTCTCTGTCAAGTGTAACAGGCAGGCTGCTAGGTTATCATGCAAATCCACAGTCGTAAGCTGTTTAATGACTGAGGTCACATCTTGCCAAAATGGCTAGATTCCCGGGCACGACCAGAAAATATGGAGCATAGTCCCAGCCTTTGCACCGCAGCGCCACCATGTATCTGGGATCAGTGGGGAGATACGGTGGAGTAGGGAGGGGACCCCGTACCATTTGGTAAGTAACTTGTAACTGGATTACTGAACCCTCATGGCCATAGAAGACTTTTGTGCAAAATGAAGGATTTTCTTCCTCTGGCTAGGGGTGAAACTCATACCAAGTTCAGATTCCAATTTTGTGAGAAAAGGAAGTGTGTAATCCTCGCCAGGGTGTGTTAGAGTGGCACAGAGTAAGGAAAGGGAGTGGTGTATTGCATCCCCCCTGTGACACAACGATTTGAATACAGTTAGCGGGCGACTGATACCGACAAAGGAAGTGGCACAACTGAAGTCCACCCCAGAGATCCAGGAGGGATCAGCCAGGCAAGGAAGATCAGCGGAAACCAACCGCCCTTCTGATGTTAGAATGTCAGATACATGGGAGTAACCTTGAACTTGGAAGCAGTGAAAATTACCCTTTTGGAGGCTGGTAATAAATTCTGAATTCTGGATTGCCTATGATAGGTGAGGGAAGCGGAGAGACCGCAGTATTGTGAGATGTCGCCCGTGCAACTCGGGGAGTGCTGCCAAGGGTGGGATATGTACACAACACCTTAGGTAGCGGGGATGCAATCCAGGGCCAACTGAATACGGTACCCTGTCCTCCATCTCCATAGAGACCCAGAGTTTTGCATTTTCAGTATCAAGTTTACACAATTGAGTCATATGACTAACCAGCATGAGTTATCACTAATATGTCTCCCCAATAATATCCACTTTACAAATTTATTTTGTAATTGTCTTTAAAGGGACATTCTTCTTCCCACTTACCACCAATGTAAGCAGCATTTTTCCTACTGGCCACCAACATCTGGGGCATTCCTCCCATTGACCATCAATGTAAGAGGCATTCCTCCCACTGGCCATCAATGTAAGAGGCATTCTTCCCATTGACGACTAATGTAAGGGGCATTCTTTCTGCTAACCACCAATCTAAAGCACATTCTTCCCACTATGAATATAAGGGGGATTCTTTTAGCTGACCACCAATGTAAGGGGCATTTTTTCCACTGGGCATTAACATCAGATGTGTTATTTTTCACACAGTCTTCCACTGTAAAGAGGCTTTCGATCACCCACTGGCAAGCAGTGTATAGGAGTATTCTTCTTGACCAACAATAGAAGGGGCATTTTCCTACCACTACAAATGCAAATGTACCTGGCATTCTTCCTCCCATGGACAACCAGTATAAGGGGCATTCTTTTTTTCCATTGACCACCAATGTAAGTGTGCAATCGTCCTGTCCATTGACCATCAATGTAGTGATATTCTTTCTGCCACTGGCCACTAATGTGAGGGTATTGTTCCTGCAACTAACCACCAATATAAGAAGTATTCTTCATCCAACTGATTCACCAATGCAAGTGACATGCTTCCTCCTACTGAACACCAATGTAAGGGGCATTTTTCCTACAGTCTACAAATGTAAAGGATACACATTTTGCAATATTCTTTTTTAGAGTCCACGCACACTGGCTTAAAAGAAATACCAGTGCTCTTGGTAGAAAAAAAAATGCTAATTTTGAATGTTTTCCTGTACTAGCGTTTAGAAGCGTTTGGCCTTTTTTTCTGCCAGAAAACTCTCAAAAATGTCTCTAAATGGTGAGCTTAAAATATGCCTCTAAATCTCCTAATGTGCATGGACACATAGGAGAACATCCATTGCTTCTACAGGCAATAAGCTAAACTCCTCTAGGAGAAACATTTTTTTTTAAACCAGTGTGCATGGACCCTTAAATAAACTTTATATACAAAATAGCACAACAATATAATATGCATGCAGCAACTTCATCTCCAAAATTTATGTTGTAAAATTTTGCAAATTTTATACAGTAATAGAAATACGACAGGTTATGCTGTAGATAATTATCTCTAGCGTTTGGTATTTATTTATTTCCTAATATATTGGTACCTGAGAAGCCAGAAAACCCCACACAAACACATGGACAGCATACATCCTCAATGATAGGGCCCTTGCTGTAACCCAGAACTGCTAGACAAGAGTGCTTACTACACCTCAAAATGGGCCTTTGCTTATCCAAGCTCTAGTAGGAGCTAAAAAGGCTTTTATATTTTTTAAATAAAAGAAAAAAAAAAAACACGTTTAACATCTCAAACATGATATTACTTACTGTGACTGAGCGATTTTTTGCTTTAATGCAGCAATAGTGCCCTCTAGCTGGTGGACCTCATTTGTCAAACCATACTGCACCTATGATTTGAAATAGAATAAAATACTGAACAGACTACAGACTTTGCTGTTTTCTGAATACAAGCACATGTAGGAAAAAGACATAGAATACCTGATCTCTACAAAGATCCACATTGGGTCTATAGGTACGAGTCTCAAGGCGTGTATGAGCTAGCTTCAGAGGTCCACTCTTCTCTCTGAGATCACACTCCAGACGTCTTATGTCTTCCTCCAGTTCCTCTATTTCCTCCTTAGTCTGTAACAATAAAAAGACGATATCAAAATGGTCCTCCATTTTTTTTGTTATTGCTTCAAAGAGGAACTGAACACTGGAAGCTGGAAATAAGGTAGGTAAAGGGCAAAGGACTATTCACCTATTCTGTGGTCTCCCTGCAGCTGTTCTTTACAAACTACTCATTTTACAATCTATCTTTCCATGTCTCTGTGTGAAAGCAGCCAGTCTTAATAGAGGTAAAGTTTTTCTTCCTCATATCAGAGTCTCCAGCAAAGAGAACAGTGTGCAGCACACTAGTGATATCACTGCATCTCACTCCAAATCTCCAGGCATGTTTTTTTTCTTTTTATATTGTTTCCCGCATAGGGCAGCCCTTTTATTTTAATGGGCCACCCTATGCATAAATGCAGAAAACGCTCACGCACCTTTTTGAGCTTTATGCCTTTTTTAACCGTCTGGTTTTTCACGTGCAAAAATACACATCTTGCTGCATTTGCAGTACCATTACCTTGTGTTTTATAGTGTGAATATCTCACTCTGCAGATTTACAGCTATGAAGCATTAACACCCCGGTCACATCAAGCTGACTTTGAAATCATGCGACTTACAGTGAAGCTGCACAAATTCAAAGTGGGGATATGTCGATTTCAGGTGCGATTTCCAAGACATCTGATACAGATGTCTATGCAAATCGCACCAAAAGTAGTGCATGTAGTATTTTTTAAATCGATGCGGCTTCGACCAAGTCGGAACCGCACCGATATGACCGCTCTAATAGCGGACAATAGGGTGGGACTCGGCATGTGATTTTCAAGTCTCAGGGCATGCAAATTGCATGCCAAGTCGCACCCAGTGTGAACAGGGGGTAAGCACAGGAGTTCCTAGGCATCCTAACATACCACACTGCTATCTTTCTGAAGAAATTAAACAAAAGGAAACATTTCAGCGTACTAATTAGGCACAATTACCATTTCTAGATCTTCCCTAAGGGATGGTTCACACCAGGAATCGCGCAGTAGTGTACTGTGCATTCCTGTGCGATTCACATGCAGCTCTGTGCTGGTGATTTCAACCCATTCATTTTGAATGGGCTCAAATTGCACCGCACTGCACCGAAAGTGGTGCATGCACTACTTTTGGAAACTCACTGCAACAGCATCACATGGTACTTCTATACGATGCAATTCAGAGCGGGCAAACACACCACGCTTGCAACCTGCGTTTGGGGTTTTGAACTCAGGTTTCCCACACTGCGTTATTATTATTATTATACAGGATTTATATAGCGCCAACAGTTTGCTCAGCACTTTACAATATAAGGGAGACAGTACAATTACAATACATTTCAGTACAGAAGGAATGTGAGGGCCCTGCTCATGGAGCTTACAATCTAAAGGAAGGGGGAGATGATACAAAAGGTGATAGCTGTGGGGGATGATCTGGTGGAGGTGATTCAAGTACAGTTCTTAGGTGGAGGTGGGGTAGGCTTCCCTGAAGAAGTGCGTTTTCAAATATCGCCTAAAGGCAGACAGGGTGGAGGCTGACCGGACATGCTGTGGTAGGGAGTTCCAGAGGATAGGAGAATGGCTCTGGAGAAGTCCTGGAGGTGAGCGTGGGAGGAGGTGATGAGGGAGTTAGAGAGGAAGATATCAAGGAGGAGCGGAATGGGCGATTTGGCCGATATCTGTGGATGAGGTTGGTGATGTAGCTAGGGGCAGTGTTGTGGATGGCTTTGTAAGCTGTGGTTAGTATTTTGAATTTTATACGTTGGGTTATTGGAAGCCAGTGGAGGGATTGGCAGCAGACGCTGATCGGTTGGTAAAGTGTATGAGTCTAGCAGCAGCATTCATAATAGACTGAAGGGGGGGTAGCCTGTTCAACGGTAGACCAGTGAGGAGGGAGTTGCAGTAATCGAGGCGGGATATAATCAAGGCATGAATAAGTTGTTTTGTGGTGTCATTGGTCAGGAAGGGGCAGATTTTGGAAATGTTCCGGAGGTTGAGGCGTCAGGATTTAGCCAGTGAGTGGATGTGGGGCCCAGAAGGAGAGGTCAGAGTCTAGGATTACGCCTAGCACCCTGGCATAAGGGAAGGACCAATGGTTGTGCTGTTGATCTTAATGGTAAAGTCGTGAGTGGGGGATCAGGGAGGAGGAAATATTACAAGCTTAGTTTTTGAAAGATTGAGTTTGAGGTAGTGATGTGACATCCATACAGACAAGTATACACAAAGAAAGAAAAAAACAGAAGAAAAAAAAAAACTAACAAAGCAGATAATTTCAGGTATGCAAAATAGCTTAACCATTAAGAGAGAGCAGTGGAAGTAGTGGTTACCAGGGGCAAAAGGAGGCTGTTAGCTGCAGGAAGAGCGGGAAGTTTCAGAAGGCGATGGAAAGCAGTGGTTACCAGGGGCAACAGGAGGCTGTTGTCAGTTGCAGGAAGTTTCAGAAGGCGATGGAAAGCAGTGGTTAATTTGGCGCAAGGAATGCCAGCCTGTCCCCTCGCCAGCCGTCCCCTGGAATGTTATGTTATGGTGTGAACCAGCCCTAAAACATAAGAATTTACTTTGTCTCTCTTTGTCTCTCTGTCTTAAATCCAAAGTAAACCACTTACAAGGAGCCTTAGCCAAGATGTGCAAGTTTGCACAGCATATATGCACATTAAGAAAGGGTGCCCTCCTCGTTGCTTCATCACCACCCCTGCCATCTTGTCCAGGTCTTCTTTTGGGTGTGGAGTCTTGGCTAATAGAAATCCCACACGTGCACAAGGAGATACTTTGTCCCAGCAATTTTGTAGGAGATACTTTGTCCCAGTTCTAGCAGGGAGAGAAAAATCTTTTATGGCAGAAGAGACACAGAGAATCTCTTCTCCCATAATTGAAAATTCACTTAAAGAGGCGCTCTCCCCCCAAAAATTAAAAGTCAGTGGATACAAGTATACAAATACTGTAGCTGCTAACTTTTAATATAAGGACACTTAGCTGCCCAGGGATCCAGCACTGTCCTCACCCGAGCTGATTCTTCAATTGGCTTCAGGTCCAGGCATCTTAACTAAGGGAAAACAGCTTGCGGCTTCACAGCCAGCTTCCCACTGCACATGTGCAAGCTGTGCTGCGCTTTGTGAATGGGATGTGTCCCAGAAGGCTGCGAGCAACGAGGGGGGGCTGAACTTCCATTTGGATCGTCTAGGCGTTTCAGGTGGAAGTGGGAGCAGGTACCTATCAAAACCAGGTACCCCCCCCCCCCCCATAAAAAGTGCCATTTATTAAGAGAGGGGGGGCAAACAAGTGGTACTTTCTTTTTTAGTTCTGCTGTACGTTTAAATTTAAACATCTGTTTAGATATGATATGAGCCACATAAGGAGTACATTGTTTTCAGTAGGATGGCTGGTTTTTAGACCTGAGTTGTTAGAAACAGCAATAAAGCACAACAATTGTATAGCAATGCATAGAAGGCAACATAGCCCAGGTATGGTATAAACAAATACAGATAAAAGTATACATTTTACAAAGAATACAGGTTTTTGAATATTACCACTTACTGATAAGAATATTTACGTCAAGGTATTCTCATTTAGGTGTTATTTAAAAAGAGACAGTGAGATTTAACATACCATCTTTCACAAATCGGAATATGTAAGGGATTGTGTACATGAGAAAATGCAGCATGTTTTCAATCAGCAATTAAAAGATATGAACTTTGGAACATGTCACATGTTCTACTCGCTTTAAGCCCTGGTTGACATCTATGCGGCCGTGCGGGCCGCATTTGTGCAGGCACAAGAGCATGCATACTTACATTGGTCCAGCTTGAATCAATGTAAGTATGCAATAAAGATACAAGGAGTCAACCTTTATAGCTCTTTTGTTGTGTTTTTCACTTCCCTCCCTACACAAACTAAAAGTAGAATGTGTTTAGTACTTACTACTGTTAAAATAAAATAATAACATGACATGAAAAACAGACTATACAGAAAACTCACATTTTTCTCTTGCCACTTGAGTTCATTGTGAGCTCTTTCAAATTCATGGATCCTCTTCCTGAAAGCAAATTCCACAGCTTGTCTCTGAGCTTCCAGTTCATTATTAGTCTGTCAGTAAGGAAACACCAACTCTATTTAACCACTTCAATACCAGACACTTTCACCCCCTTCCTGCACAGGCCTTATTTTTTTTCAGTTTTCATCACTGTCACACTTTGAATGACAATTACTCATGCAACACTGTAACTAAATAAAATTTGTATAATTTTTTTTAGACAAATAAAGCTTTCTTTTGGTGGTAATTAATCATCACTGGGTTTTATTTTTTGTAATATAAAGGAAAAAAAGACAGAACATTTATGAAAAAAAGACTTTGTTAGTTTCTGTTATAAAAGGTTGCAAATAAATTTTCTTTCTTTTCTTCTAGTCAAAAGGACTAGTGGAACATCTCAAATAGATTCAAACAGCTGCTTCTGTAAGATAGCCAACACCAAATTTAAATCCCAAAGGCACAAGGGTAGCCTGACAGGACGGACTGTACAAATCACCAACTGTACAAAGGTCCGAACCAGGGAGTGCGAAGCAATAGGCCTCTGAAAGAATACAGACAAAGCTGAAATCTGACCCTTCATGGTGCCCAAGGCCTACCTCATTTTCACGCCTGACTGGAGAGGAGAGAATCCTCCTAATCACTGGGATGCCATCCTTTGCCCTCTCACCAGGAAATGTGAGACTTACAGAATCTGTAAAAGATTTCTGGAAACCAGCTTCCTAGTGTTAAACAGTGTAGAAATAACTGGACTTGAGACCCCTCGGTCCCTCAAGATCTTGGCTTCAATGGCCACACCGTCAAATTTGTGGACCGTAAAGAAGGGTGCCATATTGGGCCCTGAGAGAGTAGGTCCGCCCAGACTGGAAGGGCCCATGGACCGTCCACAGCTAGTTTTACTATATCTGCATACCAAGCCCTCCTGGGCCAGGCCAGGGCTACCAAGATCACCAATGTTACCTCCTCTCAGATCCTTTGTAAAAGGCACGGCAGAAGCTGAATGGGGGGGAAGGAATAAATTAGGGAGAACTGATGCCAAGAAGTAACCAGAGCATCCACCCTGAAAGCGATCAGATCCCTTGTTCTGGACACAAACTTGTCCATCTGGTTGTTGAACCAGGATGCCAATAGATCTACTTCCGGGGTACCCCAACTCTGGCAAATTGCCACGAAAATCTGTGCAGGGACCACTCTCCCGGAACCAACTGCTAGCAACTAAAAAAATATGCATGCCAGCTCTCCAACTCCAGAATGTAAACTGCTGATAGAGGCAGCACATGAAGCTCTGCCCAAGCTACAATGTGATTCACCTCCTCCTGGGCCATCCGGCTGCCGGTGCCTTCTTGGCAGCTGATGTAAGCCACGGCCGTGGCATTGTCGGACTGGATCCTGACTGGATATCCATGTAACCTGATCATCTAAAACTTCAGAGCAAAGCAAACCACCCAAAGATCCAGCCAGGCTATGAATAAGGTCTTTTCTGGACTTGAACACATTAGTGTGGGTCATATTATGGAACATTTTACACTTAGTTTTCAATAAAGAAGATTTATTTACTCTTCACCTTGCTGCTGACATTCATTTACAAGTATCTACTGGGAAGCAGATGGAGACTGCTAGTCTGGCATGGTGAAGCACTATACCACAGCCTGGGAGAGAGTAAATTGTGTTGCAGCACCCTCACCTGTGTGGATAGTGTATGCTCCTTGAGTAATAGGTCGTCCAGATACCCTAGTACCGATATTCCCTAAGCTCTAAGTAGGCCCAATACTGGAGCCAGAACTGTTGTTAAAATGCGTGGGACCGTGACAAGCCCGAAAGGCAGAGCCACAAATTGAAAATGATGACCGTCTACCGCAAATGAGGTTGGAATATTGGTGCATGAATGTATGCGTCCTTGATGTCTATGGATGCTAGAAAATCCCGTATCTGCAGTGAGACTACTACTGAATGGACTGATTCCATCCAAATCGAACGAACAACTAGAAATTGATTCAGAACCTTGAGATCTATTACAGGCTTTATATCTCCATTTGGAACTGTGAACAGGTTTGAGTAGAAGCCCCTGAACTTTTCGCTTGATGGCACTTCCACAATTACCCCTTGGGACAGCAATAGATCGAGAGCTTGATATAAAGAATTTCTCTTCAGCTGGTTTGTGGGTACATTGGACTTTAAAAACCAGGGAGGGGGAAGTACCCGGAACTCCAGTCTGTACCCCTGAGAGATCGTGGAAATGACCCACTTGTCCTGAATCACCTCTTCCCAGGCACTTGAAAACTGCGAAAGCCTCCTTCCCCACCCGTACAAGTGGGGTGTCCCTTCATAACGAGGACTTAGGGTCAGCCTTAGCGGATTTCTGAACCCATGATTGCCTTTTCCCTTGGCCCTGAGGCATTGCTAAACTAGCAATGAAAGGGGAATCCAACCAGCAATTTTTTGCAAGGTAATTCTGCTGACCAGCTTTTCAACCTGCGCATGTGTACTGAGAGGACAGCCAATTGTGAAACCTGCTGTATTGAATCCTTAACGGCATCCACAGCAAAGCACAAAGTGTGTGGCAAATACGTCACCTCCTCAGCAGAATCCTCTCCCTGATCAGGAAGATTCTTAACCAACCGTTTAAAATGGTCCTTCAGGAATTGACATACGCCAATTGCCACCACCACAAGTTGTGCAGCCGACCCAGCAAGAGCAAAAGAAGCCTTCAATAATGATTCCAACTTCTTATCAGCTGGATCCTTAAACACTTGGACATTGTCCACTGGACAAGTCCAACTTTTATTCAAGGAAGGCATGGCTCTTTGAACAGCCAGCATACTCCATTTTTTAACAAATTTTTCCTCCATGGGATATAGCAAAGAAAACCTATTGGGAGGAACACATACTCTATCTGGGTGACCCCAGTCAGCATACAGCATACACTACCTGCTATGTGAGCGAATGCAATGGAAAGGCTTGAGCATTCTGTGGAGGCAGCATCGAACCCAAGGAGGAAAGTCACCAATCCCGCCGCAGGGCTCTGCTAATAACAGACACACAATCTTCATCCATCATGGTGGGTCTCATCATGTAAGGACCTTCAAGGATACAGTCACCCTAGGTCTTGTATAGCGCTGTGCCGGAAAACCGCCTTGGTCATTAAACAAAATTGCACGGGGATCTGTAATGCAGGGCCCAGCATCAAAAATGCAGCATTACAGGCAAAACTTTGTTGGGTCCTCCATTTTCCATACAAGGCTCAGGTACCATTTATTTTAGCGTACAGCCATCCAAATGGATCAAATTAACCAGTCCCTTGATCTTTATAAGAACCATTTCTGGGACCAAACCACATTCCCATAGAGAACTAAACTTCAGTGACCATCACCTTCCAGACACTGGCAAAAAAATTGAGGTACCTCCAGAGTAGGAGGGGTGATATAGGGGAACACTTTCTGTCTGTTTTTGGTCTGCCAGTAGTGCATAACCCAGATAGTAATGATTATAGCCTGCTCTGTGTCCCTTGATGTACAATAAGGAAAAGGTTTTCTTTTTTTCTTCAATTTTGTGCTTTTTTTAAAAGGAGAAATGTGTAAATATAGCTTAAATGTGTAAAAATATTAATAAACAAAACAAAAATGAGAAAAAGGTTTAATGGCTAATTAAATAGAAACAAACTTAAAAAATCACTAGGATAATAATAGATAGAGATGGAGACTAAGGTGTTAATTAAGGCTGATTTGAGTAAACTAAGGGTTTACTTTAAGAGTTTAAGGAAGGAATATTTTGTTTAAAATAAACAAACTTTTTTTTGCTTGTCAGGTTTCTTTAATTGACATGATCTGCAGATGAATGAACAGAAGGATACAAAAGTAATAATTTGCTGTGTACTGGGAGGGGGGTCCTGGAAGGACAGAGAGACTGGACCTGCTATACACCTCTTGAGTACAATGATGATGTTTTTTGGGTGTGTGGAGCACACCCAGTGTCTGAAACTAGTTAACCACTGGCCTACCGGGCACTTTTATCCCCATCCTGCCCAGGCCAATTTTCAGCTTTCAGGGCTGTCGCATTTTGAATGACAATTGTGCGGTCATGCAACACTGTACTCAAATGACATTTTTATCACTTTCTGAGACAGATAGAGCTTTCTTTTGGTGGTATTTAATCACCACTGGGGGTTTTTATTTTTTGCTAAACAAACATAAAAAGACCGTAAATTTGGAAAAAAAATAATAATAATTGCTTTGTGCACTGATGGGCATTGATGAGGCGGTACTGATGGGCTGCACTGATGGGCACTAATAGGCTGCACTGATCATCAAGGCACTGATGATCAGTGCCCTGATTATTAGTGTAAATGTGCCCTGTTAGAATTGCCGGTTACTGGTTCTCCTTTCCTCACACTGTGATAGTGCATGAGGAAAAGACTGTTGATAACCAGCAAGTCTGTTTACACTGTGATCAGCTGTGACTGGACACAGCTGATCACATGGTAAAGGGCCACTATGATTGGCCCTTTACCTCGCTCTGTGATTAGCTATGTCCGAAGGACACAGGGATCACAAATTGTGCCCCCTGCGTGCCCCGAGTGTGCGCAGGGGGGTGGGGTTCTGGGAGGATGTCAATAGACACCTTCCCAGAACTAGCTGACTGCACTGTAGCTGTCATTCGGCTATAGCATAAACATACATTTAGAATCTATTTTAAGAAGACATCTTTGTTTACTTCATGGTACCACTTGAACATTTCTATTGCAAATGTAAAAATGTCCATGCATGACATACTACTTAATACATTCACAGCTCTGCCTGAACTCTGAAGAAACTTCCTCCCTGAGGGCCAAATATTGGAACTGCTTCAATTTGGGATGCATATATTGCACTTATTGTTGGTCTTACTTATGGAAGTGTCTGAAACAGGTACTGTTTATGTTGTCCATAGCATGTAATCGCATTCCTATTATACACTCAAGAGAGCTTGCCAAGGCAGCACAGTTTGTAACTGTAATGGACATTATAACTTCTTTTTTTCCTGTCCTAGTGTTTGACCCTTGGTCTCTCAGTCTTCAAGGTTCTCTTATATAATGATTTTTCATTCTAAATTAGAAAGCAAGTTTGATACATGCCACTGCTCTGTGAATACATTTACATACTAGCGTGGCTCAGCCCTGCCCCCTGCTCTTTCCTCACTGGCTCACTGCCACTGGCTGTGATTGACAGCAGCAGGAACCAATGGCACCTGCTGCTGTCTCAGCCAATAAAGAGGGGGAGTCCCTGGAGAACCAACGCTCTGGTGCACGTCACTGGATTGGAATGGGGCTCAGGTAATTGTTGGGGGGGGGGGCTGCTCAACACAAAGTTTTTTCCTTCATGCATAAAGGTAAAAAACCTTGCACTTAAGTTTAACAGACAATAGTACAATTATTCATATAAGCTGATTCCAGTTCTCCTGACTCCTTAGCACATTTTGCTCTAAATTGTAAGCAAATTCAAGATTTGATTGGTAAATTTTGCTTTACTTGGTGATTTTGTCATGTTTTGCTTATTGCTCCAGAAGGAAACCAAAGACATTGCACAGGAAAGAACAAAATTAAAATGTGCTAGTTCTTCAATACTATATTACAACAGATCTTTGTTTGCGCTCATTTAGGAATAAGTGCACACAAAGATCCATGGTAATATGGCATTAAAAACATTTTGTAACAATTTTAATTGTAATTCCTGTGCAATGTCTTTAAACTTTGTGGTTTCCCGATAATGCAATGAGCGAAACATGTCACAACCACCAAGTAAAGCACAGTTTACCAATGGCATCTTAAATCTGCTTACAAAACTTGCTAATGACACCTGGAATTTACTTATGAATACTTTAGGTGTACTATTGTCTTGTGTTCACTCATCACGGTTTTAAATGTAATATATTATTTTGCAGGGCTTTTCTTCTCAGAGAATAGGTGCAGGAACTCCCCCTTTCCAAGTCACTTCTTGGCTCAGCCTCTACCCACCTCTGAACACCATTCCTTGGTTCTACCCCCTAACCATCTCCCAGTACCATTTCATTGAAAGAATACAGAACCAAGTATCATTTTGTGAATGTAAATTAATGTAAAGTAAACTGCATGGGATTTGTTAATGATAATAAGAAAAGCAGTAAAAAACAGACCTCCAGCAGCAACAATAGATCCCCCCCAGCAACAATGTACCACCCATAACAAAATACCCTTCCCCCCAGCAACAACAGATCGCCCACAGCCAACATCAATGGACCCTCCTGCAGCAAGCAGTAACAGACCCCTCCCTCAACAGTAGATCCCTCCCATCAATTGACCCCCTCCAGCAAAATAAGACCCAGTCCCAGTAACAAAAGACCCCCAGCAGCAACAATAGACCTCCCCAGCAGCAAAAGACACCCCCCACAGAAATAGATCCCCTCCAGCAACAATAGATCCTGAAGGACATTCCAGTACCCATTGCCATTACATATATTCGGTGATGGAGGTGCCAGAACTGCGTTCCACCACATTCCCGCTGAAAAAAGCCCTGTTCTTTTGTATTGTGTTTTGTACAGTAACAATGAATTTTATTGTAAATTTTTTTTGTTTTTTTTTATATTGGCACCTTAAAAGTCCCATTTTCTTTTGATTGTTGAAATTTTGGCTAATTAACGGGATGTGGTGTAGTCAATTTTATGGTGACTTTATTACCTGTGCAATAGTTATAGCAATGGCCTCTCTCAACTGGGCAGAGGCTCGGACTTCAGCTTCTGCTCTCTCTTTGTTGTAACGGCTAAATTGTTCCCATTCTTGAGGAGTGGTTGTCCTGGGGGAAAAGGACAGTTTAAAATGATTCTATATGTTAATGTCCCCATGCATACATAAAAACATCACATACATTCTGACTGTTTCTTTAAAAACCAACTAAACATTCTGGTGCTCAAAGGTCTTAAAGAGGAACTAAACTAAGTGATTTAACAGGTTTCCAAAATAATTACATTCAAGGTGTGCCATAAATGCTAACTATCACATTTGCTTATGTTCCCAACTGAACTGTCAAGCCATCAAATGGTTAGTTTCATAACTTATCACATGTGTAACACCATGGCAATGGCAGATAAAAATCAGGCGAAGATGGTCCATTTCTTCAACTGTAAAGGATAGCAGGGTTTAGTTACACTGGTCAAGGAAAAATGTCTAACTTGTCCGTTCAACAGAAGCCAATCTAATGACGGACTTCTGCTGAACAAAAACGCACTGGTTGAAATTTGGCTGGCCCAGCTGAACCGGCCATGTATGGCCAGTTTCACAGATTGTTTTCTTTAGAGAGCAACCACAACTTGAGTAGAAAAACATACCCTTGCCAACATGCTACAAATAAGGAACCTTGCTCTGTGTGTGAAAGCAGTGGTCTCTCTGCTGAGGTCTGGCGTACCCCCCTTGTCATCTCTCTCCAATCAGAAGTGAGTTTTAGCTTTGCCGATTGCAGGCTATAGGACTGACCCAGCAGGTGTGTAAGACCTCTGTAGAGAGAAACCTGCTTCTACACAGAAAGAAAAGCTGGGTACACACAGTAAAGGTTTTTTTTTGTTCAACCAGTGGGCTTAAGGTAAAGTCAGGTTCCTGCACAAGTCATGTGGATGCAGAGATCTCTCCTTCTGACAGCTGGTAGAATTGTCAGAATATACCGATCTGCGCTGCACAGCCTCATCTAATGCTGGTTTTCCAGCAGGACGGTTTGACAGAATCCAGTCTAATGATAGACTTCTGGTGAACAGAGAGGGCTACGCACAGATCAAAGTTGAGGCAGTTCCTACTGATCTGGCCAATTTTGATACGTGTGTACCCAGCTTAAAGAGGATCTTTGCTTTAGGAACAAAAAAAAAAATTAAGGGTCAGCAGCTACATTAATTTAATAAAAGGACACTTACCTGTCTAGGGATACAGCACCGTCCCCACTTTGGCTGGTTTCTTCACCAGATTTTGGTCCCCAGGACTGGCATCTTTAGTGTGGGAAATTGGCTGTGATACTTTGCAACTTCACAGTCAGCTTCCCACTGCACATGCACGAGCCACGCTGCACTTTATGAATGGTCCCGCGCCTTTGATGTGTTCCAAGATGCTGCAGGCACAGAGGGGGGCCGAACTTTCACTTCGATCGCCTAGGCAATCCAAGCAGAAGTAGGAGGGGCTACCCTCTCCCCCCCCTAAAACAAAATGAATGAACCAAAAATTGTAGGGTGGGAGAGGTAGAAAATATGAACATCCCATTTTGGGTGTAGTTCCACTTTAAGGGTGTTTCTGTACAGCATGCTGGTAGGGGACAGGTCTTTCTACTTGAGCTGTGGCTGCTTTGTGAAGAAAACAAACCCATATGGCTTTGCACACCTTTTGTTTTGACACATCCAAAATGAAACTGATTTTTAGGCTTCAATTCCTTCCTACTGGTACAGAGCACTGCCACAAAAATTGTGGAATAACCATATAATATCTACAGTATATGTACACTACCTAGAATAAATTAACTTTTAAAATGATCTGAAACATCTTTATTCTATTGTCCAGCGGTAGACATAATAACTGCAACTTCACATCACATAAAAAAAATCAGTTAACCTCCTAGATGATAACTACAATCATAATCACACCAGTAAAGAGCAATCATATTAGGTGGTTGGCCAGATAGCACTTTGATATGTAAGTTTTCAAATTGAAGGTAACTAATAGAGTTTTCAAGGAGATACTACTACCTGAATAGAAGGCATACTGACCAAGAAATAAAATGACAACATTATTTATGCATCAAGGGAAAGAGGCTCAGCAAAACTGACAATGTATGAAAGAAGAAAACCACTTCTGCAGAATTCTTTGTCAATGCTTACCAATGGAGATAGTCAAACATTTAACAGGCTAGTCATAAAATAACCAGACTCAAAAATGAAGACAGAATTAATGCAACACCTTTGGGACACAGTGATATAAGGATCAAGGTTCACCCAATGGATTCATTGTACAACAGTTCATAACAAATTAAAACAAATAACACATTTTGTTACTGAAGCTTTCTTTTTGTGACTACGGCTCTGATTGCACAACAGCATTCCCAGTATTCAGGATAGGTGTGTGTAAAAAAAGTGCTAGTACACATATCCCTCACCTTCTACTAAACAGATCATCAGTCCATATTGTCTACTACACACATATATTGCATGATATAATACAACAGGACCTTCAAGTGTTTCTTGCCAGATATATTGCACTTCACCAATCCTTAGATGTGGTGTCTGTCTCAGTTATTTTTTTTTTCAGTATTTTTCCCTTAAAGTGGTTGTAAAAGCTCAAGGTTTTTTACCTTCATGCATTCTATGCATGAAGGTAAAAAAACCTTCTCTATGCAGCAGTGCCGCAGCCCCCCAATACTCACCTAAGTCCCCTCTTGATCCAGCAATGTGAACTGGAGTCTTGGCTATCCCAGAACTCCCTCTTCTCATTGGCTGAAACAGCAGCGGGAGCCATTGTCAGTCACAGACAGTTAGCCAATGAGAAGAAAGAGGGGACAGGGCCGAGACATGGCTCTGTGTATGAATGGACACACGGAGCAGCAGGTGCCCCCATAGCAAGCTGCTTGCTGTGGGGACTCCGGACAGGAGGGAAGGGTGCCAGGAGTGCCTGAGGGGGCCCCAGAAGAGGAGGATCTAGGCTGCTCTTTGCGAAACCACTGCAGAGAGCAGGTAACTATAATGTATTTTATTATTTTAAAAAAAATTAAGCCTTTAGTATCACTTAAATTTTAACCTGGTGATCCTGGCTGTAAAATGCTTCCTGCTTTAGGGTAAAAACTCACTCCTCACACTATGGGGGAGATTTACTAAAACTGGTATACTCAGAATCTGGTGCAGCTCTGCATGGTAACCAATCCACTTCTAACCTCAGTTTGTTCAATTAAACTTTGACAAAGAAAACCTGGAAGCTAACTGGTTTCTATACACAGCTGCACCAGATTTCGTACTCTCCAGTTTTAGTAAATAAACCCCTATTTCTTATGGAGCAGCAGAGTTGTTACCCCAGAAAGGGACTACAGAGTTCCTTCCCTTTCTTCTTTTTCATACCATAAGAAGGGAGCTGTTTTGTAGTTCACAGAAACAGCTGGAAAAATGTTATCTTATTATAGCCAGCAGAGAACACCGGAGGTTACGAGCTCATAAGATTTCTGGCAGGATCAACACTTCTCAAACACATATCACATATAGGTTTCAATGGTGTATTTAACAGGCCTAAATGGCAGGCAAAAAAATTCATTGCTAAGGTATGTATTCATTTTTAACATTCAGTTTACACATCTCATGCATGAAACACAAGCATACGTATCCTCCCCTTAGATAACATATAAAAGCACACTCTTACCCATGAGGAACACGGGTTGGATCCACCTTCAGTGAGATGTTTGGGGAATGCTTGGTAAGTGAGAGGCATGTTTGATCGATATCAATTGTTTCAGTCTTGTCTCTCTGATCCCAGGCTAGTTGTTGACGTGTCTCCTGCAAAAGACTACAAAGAGATGCAATAACAGAGGGCCCCATCTTCTCCTTTTTTCATCATTCTGGTAACAAAGTATCAGTAACTGTCACTCTATTAATGACATCACTTGTGATGTAATATTGCCATGGATTCCATTGACTGTAAATACTGTACTGGTGACATGGTAGGTCAGGGCACAGGGGGCATCAGTACTGGAAGTGTAGACTGGGCTCCCAATAAGGCTGCAGCTGTGTTCTTCTGGTTTTCTTCAAGACCAGGGTATTACCACTACACTGATGGCATAATAATAATTATTCATGTACTGTTAGTGTAACAAATAATGGCTAGTAAAATCTGCTATATTTACAACAAATGATCAATTTTGCTATGTGAAAAATTATCCTTCGGCTCCGTTCACAATAAGCGTATCTGGAATTGCAGGCAGAATCGTATGATAATGGCCACAATTTCAGATCGCACTCAAATCGCCGCAACACAGGTTTGGTTGCCATATTTCTTAATGGGCACATTATAAAAGCAGTAGAATTTTGCTGCGGTTGCCATGCAACAAAAACTGTTGAACATCATGGTCAGATGTGCCTAGCTAAGTGTCATGCCAAAGAAGCTCATGTACCATATTTTGGCAAACACACATAGGCAGCCGATTTAAGTGGATGGGTGTCTTATGCACGACACACATGTAAGTCACTCTTTGTAATGTAAGTCTGAAATTCACATTGTAGATGCATTTCCACTCTGAGAGACAGAATTTTAAAAAAAAATTCAGGATATCACATTGTATGATTTTTAAAGAATCTATTTGTCTTGCACTGCTGAACATAAGTATTTGAACACCTACGAAACAGCAAGAATTCTGGCTCTCAAAGACCTGTTACTGTGCCATTAAAAAGTCCACCTCTACTCCGCTCATTAATCTAACTTAGTAGCACCTGTCTGAGCTCTTTAAAGACACCTGTCCACCCCACAGTCAGTCAGACGCCAACTACTACCATGGGCAAGACCAAAGACCTGTCAAAAGACACCAGAGACAAAATTGTGGATCTCCACAAGGCTGAAAAGGGCTACGGGGCAATTGCCAAGCAGCTTGGTGAAAATAGATCAACTGTTGGAGCAATTGTTAGAAAATGGAAGAGGCTAAAGACGACTGTCAGTCTCCCTCGTACTGGGGCTCCATGCAAGATCTCACCTCGTGGGGTATCACTGATAAGAAAGGTGAGGAATCAGCCCAGAACTACAAGGGAGGAGCTGCTCAATGACATGAAGAGAGCTGGGACCACAGTTTCAAAGGTCACTGTCGGTAGAACACTACGCCGTCATGGTTTCAAATCATGCATTGCACGGAAAGGTTCCCCTGCTCAAGTCATCACATGTCCAGGCCGTCTTAAGCATGGGGGGTGGTAACATCATGCTTTGGGGGAGCTTTTCTGTGAAGGGGACATGATGACTGCACTGTATTAAGGAGAGGATGAATGGGGCCATTTATTTTGAGATTTTGAGCAACAACCTCCTTCCCTCAGTCAGAGCATTGAAGATGGGTCGTGGCTGGGTCTTCCAACATGACAACAACCCGAAGCACACAGCCAGGATAACCAAGGAGTGGCTCCGTAAGAAGCATATCAAGGTTCTGGAGTGGCCTAGACAGTCTCCAGACCTAAATCCAATAGAACATCTTTGGAGGGAGCTGAAACTCCGTGTTCCTCAGTGACAGCCCCGAAACCTGACAGATCTAGAGGAGATCTGTGTTGAGGAGTGGGCCAAAATCCCTGTTGCAGTGTGTGCAAACCTGGTCAAGAACTACAGGAAATGTTTGACCTCTGTAATTGCAAACAAAGGCTTCTGTACCAAATATTCAACACTGATTTTCTCAGGTGTTCAAATACTTATGTTCAGCACTGCAAGACAAATAAATTCTTTAAAAATCATACAATGTGATTTCCTGAATTATTTTTTTCAGTTCTGTCTCTCAGAGTGGGAATGCACCTACAATGTGAATTTCAGACCCCTCCATGATTTCTAAGTGGGAGAACTTGCAAAATGGCAGAGTGTTCAAATACTTCTGTTCCTCACTGTAGGTATAATATGTAACATGTTATGATAGGTGAAGTTATTGTAGCTTACCAGCCCTGACCCTAGGTTCACACCTAAGCATTTTCCGCTTTGCAGAAATGCACTACAGGCCATTTAACATGATTTCCTATGGGGCACATTCACAACTCCGCGTTTTCACTGTGTGCATATTTTGGAAAGGGTCAGGGACTTTTTTTGAACGCAAAAAGTTGCGTTTTTGGTTCTTAAGACTTCAATGGAAATGCTGCAGAAATGCATGTAGTGCGTTTTTAATGCGTTTTTCGTGTTAAATCTGCCTAATAAAAATAAACACATAAAACCAGAAAATGCAGCAAAAACGTAACGCAAAACGCAATGCAGAAGCGGGTCAAACGCAAACTGCATAGGTATGAACATAGCCTTAGATGCAGTGATGCATTCATTTTCTTTTTTATAGACTTTTTTCCTTTATTTTCAGCTGGTGATCTGGTCAGTAACACATTTCATGGGTGGCCACACTCCTCACTCATCTATTGTTTCTAGAGAGGAATGAAGCCTTCCTTGGACAACAGCACTGTCAACCTGTGGAGAGGGTAGTGCTAGATGGACTAGTAGATTTAAATTGACATTATATAAGCGACTTCCCTTTGGAATAAAGGTTTTGATAGCTCAATGAATGGAAGCTAAGCATTGCAAGCAACTCTGTTAAATGATTTGTTGGTAGTCAGCAAAGTACATGTCGAGAGCTTTGTTTTTGTAAATTTGGTGGCACAGTCCAGGGGTGTGTTCCTGACAGCCTGGGCACATAGTAAGTCGGCTGAAAGATGCTGGCCATCATTCAATCTGGAAGAGGAGCGGCAAGTCTGTGGAGGACAGCATCGGTAAGATAGGATAAATATTGCATCTAAAGCTTTTTTTTTTTTTTTTTTTTATTTACTTTGTATATTTATAAATTCAAGACTGTATTAAATAACAGTTGCACAGGTTTATATTCCTTATAATCATAAAAAAAAAATTTGGCCCTTTTCTTTGTGATGTTTTTGCATTTTAATTGGTGTAATTTCTTATTATTAGAGGCAGATTAATAAATTAGGAAAAAAGGGGCCAAAGATAGCAATGTTGTATTTTCAGCACTGGCCACATGCTTGTGTTAGTATTTTGTTAACCCCCCTTAATCCCGCCTGCCCCAGTATCCCTTTAACCACTTCCCGTCTGGCCCATGTATGAGAGCAGTGCAGGAGCGGGTTGCCGTTCATAAACGGCGCCCGCATTTTCAGCCTGTGTGCGCTCCCTGGGAGCGCGCAGTGTCGCAATCCAGTGCCCGCTATGTCCAGAGGACACAGTGGAACACCAATCATTGTACGGGACCTCTGTGTGAGGTCCCAATCATGTGATCACTGATTGGCCAATTGGTGATCACATGAATAGTAAGCAAGATGTCACTTCCTGACATCATTACTTACTACTAAAGAAATCTGTGAATGATTACACAGATCACATGGTACAAGGCTATTCACAACAGCCTTGTGTCCATGTGACAAGCTGTGACCAATCACAGCTCTCACAGTATTTCTCAATGGCTGCAAGAATGCAGTCAGAGAGAAGGAGAAATGATTGCTTTTACAGCCTTTATGGGTGTAAAAGCAAACAGTGTAAAAAAAAAAAAAAAAAATCTTCTCACCCCCCACAAGTAGTACAGTGTCACTATGGTGACACTGTACTGCTAGGGTGACAGTATGAATAAAAAAAGCCCCATAAATAATAATATAAGAAAAAAGTAAAAATATAACAACAATTTTGAAAAAAAAATATAATTTTTGGTTATAAACTAATGTGGGTTATTTTTTTTTTTACTAAAAAGATAGATGAATACATTTTGGCCAAGATTTATGAAGAAAGATTATTTATTTGCAAAAGTTTACAAGAAAAACACTTTTTTTCAAAAATTTTTGACTTTCATTTATATAGCAAAAAAAAAAAAAAAAATCAGAGTGGTGAATAAATACCACCAAAATAAAGTTTTATCTATCTCAAAAAAATGCTAAAAAATTCATATGGGTACAGTGTTGCGTGACCACGCAATTGTCATTCAAAGATTGACAGCGCTGAAAGCTGAAAATTGGCCTGGGCAGGAAGGGGGTACAAGTGTCCAGACTTGAAGTGGTTAAACAGTTCAGAACGCCCAGGGTTGGGAAGGAATGGCAATCATATGACCGCTGCCACAGCCTGGACCAAGAGCAGTCTTTGTGCTTGGTCTTTGGGCTGAGAGCATACAATGAGAGCTTTCTCAGCATAAAAACAACAGTCCAGTGATTCGTATATGCAGTGTGTCGGCGGTATGGCCTCCAATGTGCATATGTGCGGTTTTTTTTTTAGGTATACAAGCATTTACTGATGTAAATCCCGATTATGGTGTTTTAATTTGCCTGTACACACGGGCGTGTAAACATAAGCTGCATATAGATCAGTATATAAATCAGAAAAAAAAAATAAATAAAAAAAAAAACAAGTTGACGGTCATTGTTGTATGCACTTAGATTTGCACATACCTATGTGCATACAATACACCCCTAAATTAGATATTACATTCTGAAAGGTAGAAATTATTTTACGCATGTACGCTGGTGCCCCCTAATACACATGCAAAATATACGCCTGAAACACTGACCGGGAATACTGATGTTCAAATATCAGTACCGTGTGCAAGTACCCTTAAGAAACTGGTGGTTTATTTTACATTTATACAGGAGCAAGGACAGCAGTGCCGGTAAGCCTGTGTGACAGACCTGCACTGAGGTGTTGGGCACCAGGGATCTAACTGTCACTTTTGCTGGTCAGCTTGGCCAGTTAAAGGAAGTTGGAAAATAACTGACAATTGTAGGATCAACAGGTGAAAATAAAGGAAGAAAATGCCAAAATAATCTAATGCATCCACTACCTCTAACAACTGGTAAGTTGCAATGCCTTACATTTTTGTTGTTGGGTTTAGATACACTTTTAACAGGTTTTTTTTTTTTTTGCACTTATCAAACAGTTATAACAAAACACTTTCAATGTTATTTTTACAAGATCCATAGAAAGAAAATAGGAGAATTACAAAGTTATGTTTGCCTTAAACTTTCACTGTTTTGTAAGTTTCAGAATGTGGGTTCAGTGCTGTGTTACATACATATACTGGAATACAGGCTTTGCATGGTGTTTTGTGTTTTAGAACTTGTATTTTTGTGCTTGGATTTTGAATAACAGAATAATGTAAAAACATAATAAGAATACAGGAGTTCTGTGCACAGATTTTCTTTGTGCTAGCTTCACTGACATTGGTTATAAATCATGAAGAATCACCTTTTAACTTGGGAAGAGTAGGAACATCATGCTTACAATGGAACTTTACCCTTAAGAACTTGATAAAAAAATTAATATTCATTAGTAAGAAAGTTAAAGTATGTCTTTTATGAATGGAGGAGGGGGCAGACAAGACGGTCATAGTCAGCACTCCTTATGAATGCCTATGAAAGGTCCAACGGCTATATTAACACCCAAAGCAATGGAAGATCGCCAGTTGGGGGGTCAAAGGATGGAAGATTTAAAGTTGGACAGCAACACAAGGGACATTTCTCATTAATTGCAAGCACATTTGTGCAGATTTTTTTCTATTATAATAAAACATGGGTTTTAAAGGGGAAACGTGTGTCTACAGGTGAAACTCGAAAAATTAGAATATCGTGCAAAATTCATTTATTTCAGTAATGCAACTTAAAAGGTGAAACTAATATATGAGATAGACTCATTACATGCAAATCAAGATAGTTCAAGTCGTGATTTGTCATAATTGTGATGATTATGGCTTACAGCTCATGAAAACCCCAAATCCACAATCTCAGAAAATTAGAATATTGTGAAAAGGTGCAATATTCTAGGCTCAAAGTGTCCCACTCTAATCAGCTAATTAAGCCATACAACCTGCAAAGGGTTCCTGAGCTTTTAAATGGTCTCTCAGTCTGGTTCAGTAGGAATCACAATCATGGGAAAGACTGCTGACCTGACAGTTGTGCAGAAAACCAGCATTGACACCCTCCATAAGGAGGGAAAGCCTCAAAAGTTAATTGCAAAAAAAGTTGGATGTTCCCAAAGTGCTGTATCAAAGCACATTAATAGAAAGTTATGTGGAAGGGAAAAGTGTGGAAGAAAAAGGTGCACAAGCAGCAGGGATGACCGCAGCCTGGAGAGAAGTGTCAGGAAAAGGCCATTCAAAAGTGTTGGAGACTTTCACAAGGAGTGGACTGAGGCTGGACATGGGCTTCAAATGTCGTATTCCTCTTGTCAAGCCCTGAAAAAGTCCTGAAAAACAAACAACGTCAGAAGCATCTTACCTGGGCTAAAGAAAAACAGACCTTGGCTGTTGCTCAGTGGTTCAAAGTCCTCTTTTCTGATGAGAGCAACTTTTGCATCTCATTTGGAAACCAAGGACCCAGAGTATGAAGGAAGAATGGAGAGGCACACACTGCAAGATGCTTGAAGTCCAGTGTGAAGTTTCCACAGTCTGTGTGGATTTGGGGAGCCATATCATCTGCTGATGTTGGTCCACTGTGCTTCATTAAGTCCAGGGTCAACGCAGCTGTCTAGCAGGAGATTTTGGAGCACCTCATGCTTCCTTCCACAGATGTGCTTTATGGGGATGCTGACTTCATTTTCCAGCAGGACTTGGCACCTGCCCACACTGCCAAAAGCACCAAAACCTGGTTCAATGACCGTGGGATTACTGTGCTTGATTGGCCAGCAAACTCGCCTGACCTGAACCCCAGTAATTGCTGCAAAAGGGGCCCAAACCAGGTACTGAGTACATATGCATGCTTATACTTTTCAGAGGTCCGATATTGTTCTATGTACAATCCTTGTTTTATTGATTGCATGTAATATTCTAATTTTCTGAGATTGTGGATTTGGGGTTTTCATGAGCTGTAAGCCATAATCATCACAATTATGACAAGTCACGGCTTGAACTATCTTGCTTTGCATGTAATGAGTCTATCTCATATATTAGTTTCACCTTTTAAGTTGTATTACTGAAATAAATGAACATTTGCATGATATTCTAATTTTTCGAGTTTCACCTGTATGTGTGGCAAAGTTGAACAGAGAGTTGAAGTTCTCCATTGCTTTGCCAAAGACCTAAATGCTGCATTTCTACACCCTCCTATTAGCTCTCTACCAGTAGTTCTCCTATTTACCAAATCTGCTCAAAAGCTTCACTAATCTTTTGCTGCAGTGCTTTACGAACTCCCTCAATCACTTCCACTTCCTTGTGCAGTTCTTCCTCCACAGGGTCTTTCACCAGGTCAATGCTTCTTCGGCTTTCACGGAGGGTCAGACACTCTATGGCTACATCTGAAGGTACATTCTTAGCTTGCAAGGCTTGTTCTGCTTCATCTTTCATCTAGAGCCCCAAGGAAAAGTTACAGTATGGTTAACAGCAATACCTAGAAAAATGTAATTGATTAGAAGTGTTCATCACAAGTGCATACATTAAAGTAGAAGTTCTGTGACAAGCAGCAATGGGTTTGAGATGAAATGCAGTGCCAGACCACTGCCCTTTTCATCACCTTATGACAAAAGACTGGACCACCTTACATCACGTTGTCACTTATACAATAATGACACTCTCAGGAGCACCCTGCATTTTCCAGCTTGAGGAACCACAATCTAAGTGCCAACAGAATTTCATTCAGTTTAGTTAATTAAGCAATTAACTCTGTACACTGTCACCACCTGCTTTTACTGAAAAGCAGGAACATTTCAAAAGATTAGCAATTACAATTATGAAAAATAATCATCTGTACACACACTGTCACCACAGACAGGTATATTCTGAGGATTATACTACAGTAGCGCTCTTCAAGAGACAGGGATTCTTTTAGTTTGCATTAGCGCATTTAAAGACAGTTTCAATACTGGTGCAAATAAAATATTTACAAAAAAAAGAAAAAAAAAAGGTATTACAAAAACAAAGAGAACAAGCAACAGCAAAACAAAGAGGTGAGTAAATAAATACTTGGTCTTTGGTTTCAGCCAGTTGGAGTTCAGTCAATGAGCAAGGTGTTAATGGTTCTCATAACTTGACAGATTTTCCTTGGTTGATGATACAGGACAGCTGTCAATTTCAGGAGCAGTCTCCTTTTTCTCTGATATCAAGGTGGTGTTCTCTGAGACCAGCTGGCCAATTAGGCGGCTGAGAAGTGGCCATGGGGGTGTCACCGTGTGTATGGCCCTCCCTTACACATAGTTTTATAATAATATTAATATTTTCCAATATATACAGGTTGCATTCTGGAAACTGGTAGATTATTGTTCAGTATTGAATTTCGTGTCCAGGGATACCAAACATGGAGTATATTGGATGGGCTTTTCACCCAGGAGGTATCTGAATGCTATCTCACCTTCTGTATACTATAGCTTAGTCATGTATGATCTCAATTGTTCGGTATGATATTCCCTATTCAAATATATATTCCAAATGGTCACCGCAAGCCTGACTGCTTTACAATCCCCATTAGCCCTGGTTAAGACATTTTACTGCACACATTGTATCCCTTGTGTGTTTTATTGCCCTACAAACCATGTGTGACAGAACTGAAGAATTTTGTGACCGTTTTACAATGGGTCAGAGGGGAGTAATGCTCAATAGATTTTTATGGTTAGCAGAAATTAACATACATCCTGCCAGAACTTCAATTAGATATTTATGGCTCTGTCAACGGCCTGTGTACTGGTGTCTGCTGTCCCCAAAATGAGATAACAGGCTCTTTGAAATGTGACTAAGTTAAGGCTATGGAGGTACATTCTTCGCCATTTGCAGCTGCAATGTTTAACTGTTCTACAAAACCATAATGGCCGACCTATGATTCTTGAACAACATGGCTGCGAGACACAGCTTTTTGTGTGCCCAGTATGTGATATCATTACAGGGTTATCATTTTGTCACTGGAGCATACAGCTGTTGATTTCACCTACACCACTGAGGACTTCTTTCTATTTTGATTGCAAATGTATATTCTGAAGCTACTTGGGATGCTGTTAAATACACAACTTACCGAGGTTAAAGCATCTATTTCTGCATCTACTTCAGCCAGGCACTTATCCAGCACTTGTTTCCACTTCTCCACTTCATCAATACGATCGACAAGGCGGGTACTATTATCATGCTCGTCCCATTTAGTCTAATCAGAAAGTAATTTTGGTTATGAAATATCAAGATAAAACATGTCTGTATATAATTAAAACTGACGTGTATTTACTTTCATAAGCTTGTGCAAGCATAAATACAAACTTTTCTAATACAGAGTATTACAGGCTAAATTCACCTGTAATGAAATTAATGAAAAAAATATTGAATGCACATATTTTTGCAGGTTAAAAAATGTGCAATTAATATTTATGTCTTCAAGAGCCTGTAAAGTATGATGGATTGCGGGTATTATGTCAGGCTCTTGCACATTTTTCTTCCAGCATTTTTGCCATTACCTCTGTACAGGCTTTCAGATTGAAAGCTGGAGGCAGTGAGCACACTAGCAGTCCATTGAAACTACAAGTCCGTATAACATGGCGGAAGATGGGACTTGTAATTTATTCATTTACAGATCTCTGTGAATGCATGATGCTGCTTTGTGGGTGGAGAGCCACACCTGCCAGCTGTCATAGGGATCAGGAGGGTGAGGGGGGCTGCTGAACATGTTACATGCTAAATGCAAGTGTAACATGTAAGATGTTCAGAAGGTGAACCTACCCTTTAAGTAGGCTTTGTAGGCTGTGAACACGGGTCTGCTTTTGCCAATGTTTTTTATATCAGTGCATGCTTTTTTTAAACTGTTTAATATGTTTTTTTTCCCCACAAATTACTGTATATACAACCTTTATATTACAAATAAACATACATAAACATACATGATACAGCATTCCCAGAGCACTATGGGTTAGTAAAGGAAACAGCACAGCAGCTTGCTTTGCCACTCCATTTATCCAACTGAAACCACATACTGAGACATCTGATAACATGAATTACTGTTTTGTTGAAAACTGACCTTTTTTCAGCACAGCTGAAGAGTAATCAAACTAATGTAAAATCGAGACTACATCATCATCTATCAGCATAACAGAAGACTACAATGTGTAAAATTTTATATTACCAGATTTAAAAAAAAATATTTTTTTAATTTGTATTTTTTTGTTCTGACCATAAAAAACAAACACAGTTTGTAAACAATACACTATAATGATTGTAAATTGTCAATTCACACGTAGCGCACACTACTCAGACATCCAACAAAAACAAATACCACACATTGGTTGCTACATTAAAAGAAAATTCCTTCACCTTTAATCAAAACTCCCTTGTATTTGTATACTCCCACCATATAGAGTCTATAACTAAATGCTCAGACGAAAGCATATTTATCACACGCAAGATTAAAAACATGCTATAAAACAAGAGATCCTGCTTGGACTTCCACTAAATGATTACTGAATAAATAAGAATGAATATTATTTTTAAAAAGTCGATAATCATTACTCTAAGCACACTTTAAATGGGTTACCAATAAGTCAATATCTTTGAAAAAGGAAGATTTGATTTGCTAATGAGGACTTGTGGATGGAAGTAAGGAAATTAGAGATTGGAAAAAGATGTTATGAAAACAAAATATTTTAAAAGAGACTGCTAGAGAGCCAAATACACACAAAAAAAGATCTATTAGAAAATCATGATAGAAGGGGTCAAGAAAAAGAGATATCAAACATTAGATTGATAGCTGCTTTTCCTGACATCTCAATATCCACATATAAGTGGGTAGACCTCCCCCTCTCTCTACATTCATAGGACCAAGTATGTATAAATTTGACCCCCTCCCTAGACAGAGCATTTGTTTCTTGTCCTCACACCAAAACTTCCATAGGACATTTTTGTAGCCTTACCTACTTGTGGTGATACATTTACTGTGGCCCATCAGGAGGTCCTGGATGAAGCCCCCCCCCAACTAAAGTAGTCAGAGTTTCGCTGCTGGCCCTTGGAAAGCTGGTTTATTGTTTATTCCAATAGCATACTTTTAGGGAAGCATGATGCCCTTTTTGCCCTCTATTTCCAACTGTTTCTTGTGTTTTTCCCTAGGCTTGCCTAGGGAACCTCATGATTAGGACATGTTCAGTCTGAACCTTCCAGTTGTGCCCCCTGGCAGTTCTGAGTACGTGTGAGGGACATGGCATAGATCAGTAAGGTAATGTGGGCCACCCGTTCTTGCTCTGCTGCCATTGTTTTGACCTCAGGCAACCTTATCCTTGGCATCATTACAGTTTAGGTACCTAGCATCTTATTTGTAAAACCCCTAAAAGAATATGATCCGCCCCCTCCAGATCCAGAGAAGACATTTGTCACATCATCAAAGGAAGTGCAGATCACCTCAAGGCATTCACTTTCTAAATGTATGGCCATCATCAACCCCAACTCATCGAGAGGGCTGTTGGTTTAGCCCAAATAGGGTTCTACAAGGGAAAATGGATTCTAAAGATTGTTTCCTTGAAGTAACAAAGGATATGGAAACAGATAATCAGCATGTGGTCTCCTTCCTTAAACTGGTAGTGCAAGATTCTTTCAAATACTTTGCTAAATCCAACCAGGCCTTAAGCTCAAGTTCTCCTCCATGGCAGCACGCCAGCAGCCACAGCTCAGTTGTAGACACTAGCAAATCATTAAGATATTCAATAATTGCCAGGTTCAGGCAACCACAGTGAGGGTTCCTCTAAGAAGGAGGGTGATGCAGAGTTTGACTTTTCGCTAGTCCAGCTTTATATAAAAGCAGTTAAAGAAGCACTTTTATGGGAAGATACAGTGGAAGTACCACAAATAAAAAAGAAGCTTTAAAAACCTTAAAAAAAAAAGGTATTACCTCTTTAATTACTAATGAAACTAAGGTGTAAACCAGAGTAGACAGAAAATCTTCCCTGAATAATTGTTTCTCTAAGCTCTATTGTTTCAAGGAAGAAGAACTAACAGTCTGAATTTGCCACCATTACAAAATGCAATCATAATGAGGTAAGGAATATTATTCTGCTGCTAAATGGTGCAGTGCCCTTGAAAGATTCATTGGGCAAACACAGAGATTAGATCTTCTTGTCAACCTGGACTTTCAGAGAAAGGTTTAGATTTTAAATAAAGTTATAGTACTTTAAAAGTCCAAGTTTCAGCACTATTAGCCTTTAAAAAAGATACAGTGGGCTTCAAACAATTTAGTGGTGTAATTCTTCTAGAGAGTCGCCAAGTGAGCCAACTAGATGTGGGCAACATTTTAAAGCCAAACTCTTTTTTTTTTACTTTAGTTCGATGCAGCTTAGTTATCTCTAATTGTTGAAAATCTGCCTTCATGACTATCCACTTTGGTCTTCCGGGTTCTGCTGTACTGTGACTTGCTGTCTTGTACAGTTCAGGAGTGGCTGTACTCTCTCGCCCTTCCTCCCCCTCACCCATTGATAAAACGTCTTGGCCTGGCAGACCCCTCTCCTCTTGGTCAGCCAAAGCTGACCACCAAGTACTAAGTGAGGGGATCCCCCTAGATTTCAAGGGTATACCTCAGGACCCACACCCCCCCATCCGAGTATAAATAAAAACACATACTGTAAATAACAGCAAAGTGACACACATATTAATTAAAATGAAAGAAAGAAAGTACTAGTGTAGGTGCTATGGCTAGGTCTGGTAGCCTAGTAACAAAAAGTTCCTAAGTCTTGGCCAAAAGGCCTAGCCCATGAGGCTCTATACAGGAAAAAAACAAAAAGGGGCTGTGGCCATGTGCTTGTTTTCACAGTGAGGTCCCAAACCTATAGTGATACTAAGAGCACCCCTGGGGTGACCAATTCCCAGGGGGCACAGACACCAAAACACAGACCACTATGCATTCTGGAAAAGAAAACTACAGCTATTATTGGTCCAATACTACCAATGATTGCAAGAGCATACTTTACATAGAAACATGTACATTGATATTTGAGATTTACAAATTATCTATGGAGAGCTACCCATATTAAACTATTTGTTTGGATTGAAAGCAACATATATAAAACATCTTATATTTACAAGCAGGATTTATTGTCTTATAGCGTGTTTTTTATCATGTAAGTAATAAATGATATGTTTTAAACCTAAGCCTTTTAATACAGTCTAGGTGGTTAGAATATACACACAAATGGCTCTATGACTATGGTTGGAGACGTTTTTGGTATGTAGAGGTTAATCAGTAGTATTTGTGTTTGTTAGATGTTTGAATATGGTTTATCCACAGTCTGCACATCCAAATTCTCTCCTGAATGCAGTATTTTTGCAAAAAAAAAAAAAAGACCACATTCACCTTGCTACAAAGGCAATATATTAACTAGAAAAGCTACAATTTCTGGGGAAATTGTGTGAAGTGTTCTTGCCTCCACGTTTTGATATAAGATTTGTGTAGGTGGGCTTGAAAATGAGGGAGTGATGGCAGTTTAGAAATCATGTCCTGATTTTTCAGCTCACTCTCTAGCTTTTGTCAGCTTCCACTCTAGTTTTGACCATTCCACCATTCATTCCTATGGGACCAATTTCACCACAAAAAAGCCGATATTTCGTGAACCTTTCGGCTAAACATTCCACAAAGTAATAGCACACCAATCGGGAACAATCCGCACGTTTCGGTATATTACTGTCTATGTAGTGTAAAAACTGTGGGAGGAGTTAGGGTGGTAAATTTGACTATAATAATAATATATATGTGAGATAACAGTAAGTGGTCTTCCCATGCAAGAACACTTAATTAGGATAACAAACGTTACTGTAACAATATGTACTGCTATAACATAAGACAAACCAAGTTTCCTGGTAGATACCTGGTTGTTGGTCTCGTTGCGTAGACTTCTGGCTTCCTGACGAATCTGATGAGAAGCTGAACGTTGCCTTTCAGCATTTGTGGATATGAGAGCACTGTTGGTGTGCCAGTCCGGTACAGAAAAGCGGCTCCCTGGTTTCATGCTTAGAGTGGCCATAACTCTGCAGACAATGATTAAGAATTCATAATGTACACACACAATGGGTATCATACAGTGATAATAGTGGAAAGGAGAACTACCTTTGTTCTTCACAGCAACCAGTCAGAATACCTCTTTTGAAATTGGGATCAGGAAAATGAGATATATATCTGGTGGTTTGCTATAGATCATATCTACACTTTTCATTCCTCCTTTTAGGAGTCTTATCCACAACACTTGCCTGGATTGCAACCTCTGATAAAACAGTTACTTTTGGTAAAGCAATTTTTTTCCAGGGTCCTCCTATCTATGCTCACAGGTTTGCAACCTTTGTATCTGCTTCTAGCTCAGAAAGAACACTATATGGCCCCATGTACACGGGACACTTCTGAACAATGGAAACTGACTGCTGGAAAACATAGGTTAAAAAACATCTGTTTAGCCGCATTTGCATACTGCTTTTATGTGTGTTTGCGTTTAGAAGCATTTTTTTTAAAGATAACCTCAGCAGACCTTCCAAAATGCCCAGATTGCACTGAAAAACAGTAAAAAATTAACTATTTCAGACATTTTAAAGGAAATAGAGAGAGCAGTATTTGTTGAGATTAGCTGTCTTTTTATTTTTTGTGGTGTTTGGATGTGTTCCAGCTCATTTCTGTGCAGCAATGATTGCAGCAGTGTCTAACATATTTTTTTTTCATACAAAACCTCAAAGTATGGTGTACCAGGTCCATTCGAGTACCGGGAAAATGCTTTGCATGCATTTTTCAAGATGAAAAAAAGGCTCTGGACATCATCTGGAAATGAAATAGTTAAAAAAAAATTTCAAACGCAAATGCCTATAAACACGTTTAGCCACGTTTACAAGCGTTTTGCGTTGGAAATGCAGATAAAATCTACTGCTGAACGCAAGTTTTCAGCGTTCAAAAAAATAACTGTAAACTCAACTGCCTGTAAACGATGATGTGTACATGGACACATAGGAAAACATTAGGGTGAGTTCAGGGGCTCCTGGAAAAAAAACGCTGAACAGCTCCTAAACGTGAGTTTATCAGCTGCAGTGTACATGAGCCCTAAGAGCTAAATGTTTATGGTCCACAGGCCTCACTCTTCCTGATCCAACAGTTGTCTACACTGCCCTTCTCCTGTGCAGTCTTTGAGGAAGAGGTGGCTGTTTGCAGGGCAGCTCAACAGAACTAAATGGCTTAGACAGCCGCCTAATCTCAGACTGCAGGGCACCAACCAATGAATTTAGATAAGTAATGTCATTACATAAACTAGAAATCTTCATACAAATGGGACAGCATCCCAGCTTCCAAAAAGCACCACCACGAAAAAATGCCAAACAAGTACTGCACTGAACCAGACATTTTAAAAAAGCTTTATGCAGGCCATAGATGGGATGAAAAACGGCCAAAAATTGGGCCAAAAAAATTGGCTGATTTTCGGATCGTTAGTGCGGTAATCGGTCGGCCGTTTTTAGTGATTTTTGCCCTTTTGGATTATCGGTCCTGCTGGAAAATAATCGGCCAAATTTGTCGTTATGCCAATTTTTGCGGCAATGATGGACAAATCTGCCGATCTTTTTCCGATTTTAAAAAATTCGCATGAGCAGTGACATGAAAGAAGAAGGAAAAGAAGAAAAGGAAAAAAATAGAATATGAATGAGAAGAAGAAATAGAATATGAATAAAAAGAAGAAATTGAATATAAAGAAGAAGAAATAGAAGAAATAGAATATGAATGAGAAGAAGAAATAGAATATGAATAAAAAGAAGAAATTGAATATAAAGAAGAAGAATAAGAAGAAATAGAATATGAAGAAGATGAAGAAAAATTGAATATGAAGAAGAAGGAATAAGAAAAAGAAGAGATAGAATATGAATAATAAGAAAAAAAAATAATAATTTCAGCCCGATATTATATTTGACATTTAAAAGTATAGCAACATTGTACCTATTTGTATCCGAATAGAAACATCTGTATCCGAAATGGATACAAATAGATACAATGTTGCAACTTTTTCTTATTATTATTCATATTCTATTTCTTCTGCATGTTTCTATTTCTTCTTCTTCTGCATATTCTATATAATTGCCAGCCGTAGACGGGATGAAAATCAGCGGCTTTTTTTTTACCAATGGTGGTAACATCGGCTGATTGAACAACCAATTTTTCATTTTTATAAAAAAAAGCGGCCGGTTTTCTCCCCGTCTATGGCCTGCATCAGGCTAAGTTCACACTAGCTTTGCTAGCAGGCGTTTGGGAAGCGTTTTTAATGTTCCTCAAATGCCTATGAAAATTCTACACATGGCAGCACACAATACTGTTCACACTCAAGTCAGGAGGAGTTGAAGCCTCCCATTCAAGTCTATGGTGACACCTGGCAGGCGTTTGTGGGGCATTTGCGATGTGATGAAAAACATAAAAGTAAAAAAAAACCCAAAGTGTTTTTTGATTGTAAAAATGAAATGTTACACCCAAGCACATACCATCCCCCCTCCAAAAAAAATTGAGGTGCCCCACCCCTACATATATGCGAGACACGTCACATATCGCCGCGCACGCCAGAATGAGAGCAATAATTCTAGCACCAGACCTCCTCCATAACACTAAACTGGTAACCTATAAGGAGATTTAAATGTGTCAACCTATAGAAAATATAGGGTACTGAAGTTTGTGGCCATTTCACGAGCGCGCACAAATTTAAAGTTTGACATGTTGGATATCTCTTTACTCACTGCAACCTCATCTTTTATATTTTACAAAAAAAATAGGGTAATTTATTGATTTTTTTGTACCCTAAAATTAACTTTAACTTTTGGGGGTTTTATGTAATCTTTGGGTCTAAAATGATTTTTTTAAACTTGTGTAAAAAATGCAAAAACGGCTCTGGTAGTGAAAGGGATAAAGGAAAAGCCTTGACCTTTCCTGACGAGCAGCCAATCGGTGCTCATTACACTGCAAGGTCTCTCCCCTTCCTGCTAGTCCCTGGGTGCGGTGCTGGAGAGAGGCAGGGAGGGGAGGAGGAGATAAATAGCGTAATTTTAAAAATATTAAACATTTAAGTCGCCATAAAACCCCTTTTGATTTTAAAAGCCCCTGACATTTTTAATATCACCTCCGATTTAAATACAGTTTTGGTTAAAATATTTTCGTTTCTTTAATCTGGACAAGTAGATTGTCACGAGGGACAAGTAGATTGGAGCACCGATTTAGCCCCTGGACAAGTAGTTTTTCCAAAAATTTGCACACCCCTGAAATGTCCTACATGGATAGAAGCTGAGCTCTTGTTTGTACAGAATCTCAGGATGGCCATGCACACTTCAATAAATTATTTCTTTCCCAATCGATCTCTCCTGATAGAAATACTTGATTGATAGTGTACAATCCATTTAACCAATATGTCACACATGAGGAACTGGATTTAGATTCGGGATGGTCTATATGTTCGAGTTGGACATACCTTCAACTCTAACATTGGATGTTTCTGTGTTCACTCGTTCATCCCCCTCCTTCCCTGGTCTGCCAGGCCTGTGCTCGGATCAAGGGTCTGGTAGGAATTTACGAGGGACTCCCACGCTTCCCCCTATTTTTTGGATGTGTGGTTCCTCTTAAAAGTCCTACCCCATGCATGTTTTCCCCCAATTTTGGGAGGTTGGATTCCCTTTAAAAGTCCTACCTGGCCTAAAGGGCCTGGTATGACTTTTAGGGGGATCCCCACGCACTTTTTTAAAAAACTTTTTTTTTACTGTGGGGTCCCTCCTAACCTTCCCACCAGACCTAAAGGGTTTTACTGTGGGGTCCCTTCCCCCCCAGGCATGATATTTAAAGGAATTACTCAATTTTTGATTTACTTTAACTGCTTCCATACAGGGCACTTTTACCTCCTTCCTGCCCAGGCAATTTTTCAGGTTTGAGCGCTGTCACACTTTGAATGACAATTGCGCGGTCATACAACACTGTACACAAACAAAAATTTTATCATTTTCTTCACACAACTATAGCTTTCTTTTGGTGGTATTTAAGCAACACTGCGGTTTTTATTTTTTGCTAAATTAACAAAAAAAGACTGAAAATTTTGAAAAAAAAACCCACATTTGTCTTTGTTTCTGTTATAAAAGTTTACAAATAAATAATTGTTCTTCATAAATTTAGGCTGAGATGTATTCTGCTACATGTCTTTGGTGAAAATAACTCAAATTAGGATGTATTATTTAGTTTGTAGGAAAGTTATAGAGTTCTTAAACTATGGTATAGATCTGAATATTGATCAATCCTGAAGTACTGACAGCCAATCTAATTTCTTGAGGTCCAAGAATGTCAGAACAGTACAGATATCCCCAAATGACCCCTTTTTGCAGAGTAGACAGTCTGACGTACTTCATAAGAGGCATGGAGAGTTTTTTGAAGTTGTAATTTTTTTGTCATAATTTTTCGGAAAATGAAAAAAATTAAAAAAATTATTTTCACTATTTTTTTTTTACATACTGTCACCAGTGCAGTACAGCGTCATCATATAACTGGCATGGCGGTGATCAGGGACACTAACTGGTGACACTACGAAAAAAAAAAATTATAATTTATTTTTATTTTTTTTATTAGTTTTAATTTTTTAATTTTTTATTACTTTTTTTTCTCTTTTTTTAACATATTTCACTATGACCAAAGTAGTACAATGATACCATAGTAACATTGTACTACTTTGGGGAAGTGATCAGTATTTTTTTTTGTACATAATTTGCTTATAGCAAAGAATTACTTTGCTATAAGCAAGCATTTACCTGAATGACATCGATTCATTCAGGGTTTTTTTTTGTGCTTAGCTGTGATTTGGCCACGGCTAATCACATGACACAGCTGGGCTGTGATTGACCCAGCTTGTGCATGTGACCATTCACAGCTAGACACACTAGTATACAATGGATGGCATGAAAGGAAGCCATCAATTTATACAACTGTCATGTGACCTGCTGTGATTGGTCACAGCAGGTCCCATGGTACTGGAAACAGGGCCGGTACACA